GTGTCATCGCCATCTCCTAGTCGACTTTTAATGTGAAGTAGCTTATTGTTTTTGTTGTATTTTGGTTTGCGCTCTAGTTATACTACTCCAAGTAGCTTGCCTTTATATTGCAGTAAATGAGTTCTAATTAACTGAATCACATGTAGACTTTTTTGAGGGAGAATCACTCAGGTGATGGTCACAGCTTAAGGTAGTTCAATCACCGTCAGGTCATAATATGACATCGATAAGAAGATAATGTCATTTTGAAACATATAATGTTTTACATTGAGATATTATGAAATCCTATTTAATTTGAATCTAAAATTGTTTGTGCATATTGAAATTGTCATATGAGAAACATTTTCAAGTGATTCTGTCGAGAAATAAATGAATTTACACTTGATACGTGTTGTTTTAAGTTATATGAATTTAGAGCTGACTAGCTAAAGGTTTTTGAGCCCTTTTTAGTTGTGTCAACTTAGTATTCATTGCATTTTATTAAGAGTTCTAACTTGTGTTAAGGAAAAGAGGGGGGTCACTTAATTTTTTAAAAAGAAATTAAGAAAATTTGATTTAAAAGACTCTAATAGATTAAATTATTATAAATTTAGAGAAAATGGATAAAAAATTCTTATTTACGCTTCAAGAAAATTTTGAAAGCATTTGAAGCGCCCGCAAACCTGGAATTTCTGGGAGTTGATGGACTATTCTCATCTGGGTTTTGTCGTACTGGACTAGTACTATTTTGCTAATTACTCGCTGGGTTTTGTGAAGAAGATGAGTATAGGGTTCGTCGGGAATGGCTATGTATTGCCAGCGTACTAGTTAGTTTCTTTGATTTAACGTCGATGTTCTAAGGAAGACAAGCGTACTGGGTCGGGTTACTTGGGTACTTGGTGTTGCTGTTGTATGGAAATTTTCGTTGCATCTTTTTTTATTGCTTAAAGTTGAGTCTCCTTTGATATGGAGGCAATGTTTTACTTTCTGATGCGAATTCACATATAGTTGGACTTCAATGTGAGTAATGAGACAGAAATAATTATCAAGTTAAAAAATAGATTTAATCCATTAAATAACTATACAAACATTTGATGATTTAATTCTACAAATTAAAGTAACAAAAAATATAAATGTACTACTAACTACCATTAGAATAATTTCTTATTGTCATATATATCCATGTGGATATTCAGGATCAGGCGTATCAAAGTAATCCAATTCTTCATCATTTATGGCTTTAAACGGCTCATATATCCAATGATAGCTACCAAATTTGCAGCATATAACGATTCATCATGATCTCTCACGATTTTGAGGCACACTAATGAAGTGTATTCTCGATTGTTATAGAAATATTTGATTATTTTTACCTAAACTAACTTTCCTTGTAATGAAACACACAACAAAGTCTTTGTCTCTAATTTTGCCGCTTTCTCTCTTAAGACATCCATAGAAGTTTAATGAAGACACTATTCTTTCACAATCCAGAATACACTTTCTTATATCTTCACTACTTTCTTAATCAAAATGAAAATTTTTCTTTGACCCAATCCTTGATCTGTCCTTGTCTATTGTCTCGTCCTTTTCATTTGGGACCTCGAATAATTGATCTGTTGAAGTTTTCACCCTTGATCGTTTTTTTTTAAGTCGAAAAGAAATAGTTTATATGATGATTACTTGAATTCTGAAATAATTCAGTTGTCTCTTTGTTATTGGAATGAGTCTATATACGGATTATCATGGTATTCGATAGGAATTTCATGAATGAATTTTGTTACACCTTATGTCACGATCTGAGCCTACACCCTGAACGTGGTCGGCACTCGAAAATCATTTTTGGTCTCGAAGAGAACCCTCATCTTGGCTTACTCCAATCGGAAGACTAACTCAAGCCTTAAAGCTTAAAAATGAATAAAATTCGTTGAACTCAATTACAAAATGTTTAACTCATAAGATTAACTCCAAATAAAACAATATATTCAACTCGCCAGAAGTAGGCAACTCAAGTCTTTAAAACATTGAACAAAATAAATTAAACGAACTTCTCAAACTCTGTTGTCTATCAATGAAGCCTCTACATGTCAAAGATGGAAGTCAGGAGAAGACCCACGAGATCCTGCCAAAACTGAAAATAAATGGAATCCTCTGACTGGACGCAAATAGGCTAACCATAACAAACTCGAACTCCATGTGGTATCAAGGAAACTCCCTTTGGTTATCCTAAATACATATATATGCATCATGAAATGATGCATGCCAAATGCTCAGTACATGAAATGTACGAGCATGTAAGGGGAATTCTAAAGCATAATATAAGCTTGAACTTGATAAAAAGAAAACATCCTTACCTCTTCTAAACTTACTCAACTAAACTCAACTCAAAAATAAAATACTCAACTCAAAAATATGATACTCAACACAAAGATACTCGACTTAAAGATATGATACTCAACACAAAGATACTCAACTCTGGATAGTGATCAATTCAAGATAAAGCAACAATAAACTATGCGATATATGGAAAGATTTTAAAACAATATGTAGCAACTCAAAGTATTGAAAAATACAATAACAACTCAATGTGCATATAATAAAATATAATATATAACTCTGTGAGAGATTCTCTAACCGACAATAATCACTATGAGCTATGTAATGATACAACGTCTCGCCATGCTACCAAAACTTTTCTATACTTTGTCGGGGCATAGATTATTTAGTTCTTTTTGTTATAGGAATTAATGAAGAAGGAAATGTTATCAATGCTGAAATAAAAAGGATAGACGATTTTTGGGTGTTGGAGTTGTAGTGATTAGATTAGGTATGGAACACTCCATTAATAAGAACTTACTATCAGTGTGATGGAGATCACGTCTCACTTATTCTTAAGAAATTCTTAGATGAGATTCAGGAGGTACCTTGGACATTTTCCATAGAGATTAAGATAAGAATAGTATAATAGATAGAATTAGAGTATACTCTAAAATAAGGGAATCAATTGGATGATTCTTTACCAACTTTTTCTCATTTTAAGTTTAACTCAATACATGATGTTCCATCACAACCAAAATTGATAATACACAATTGAAAAAAGAACATGATAACGTATTTAAGAATAATAAAGCGTCAAAAAAAGATATTTCAATACACAAAGAGACATGTTAATTCAAGAAATTAACTCATCATATTATAAGTGTATTAAAATGTGTGTTAAAAGTATAATGTATCAATAAAATTTGTATTATATGTGAATAAAAAATTGCTCTTTGTAATATATATTAAAACGTATTAAAATTTATCAAGTGAAGAAAAGTATGTTATTGTTATAAATGATAAAGTATTTTTTTAAATATGTTTCCAATTATAGTAGGGTTTTGTTTTCTTTTTGCTGCTTTATATCTTGGGATCTATTTTGGGCTTGGGTCACTTTCAGACCCAATGTATGCTTTCTTTTGATTTTAATGAAGGGAAAATTACCTAACAAAACAAACTTATACTATTTAATTACTTATCATAGCTATAGTTTGCTATAATTATCATTCGCGACTAATATCAATACACATTAATTACGTGTACTAACTTCGAGTTTGTATTATTAGTCATGTTTGTGTATGTGTAATTCGCCAGAATATACAAATTCATATGTATAATATACAATTATTTAATCTATATACATATACAATTCACCTCTATCCCACTCTCTTCCCTCTCTCCCTCGCCTCTCTCCCCCTCTCCCAATCTTGCTCTCCTGTCTCCTCTCTCTCCCAATCTCGCTCTCCTCTCTCCTCCCTCCCAATCTCGCTCTCCTCTCTCCTCCCTCTCCCAATCTCGCTTGCCCTATATACAAATGTATATGTATAATATACAATCAATTCACCTCTCTCCCGCTCTCTGCCCTCTCTTGCTCGCCTCTCTCCTCCTCTCTCTCGATATCTCTCGCCTCTCTCTTTTCTCTCCCAGTCTCACTCCCATCTCTCTTCCCTCTCCCAATCTCTCTTTCCATATATACAAATATATATATATAATATACAATTATCTAACCAATATACATATATAATTCACCTTTCTTCCACTCTTTTCCCTCTCTCTCTAGACTCTCTCCTCTCTCTCCTCGTCTCCCCGTCTCTCTCCTCCATAAAACATGTAGCTATAAATTGTAATTATTAAACTATAGCTATGGAGAGTAATTTTTTATTTTTAGGTGACTATATGTGAAAGTTTCCTGATAAATGAGCATGACCCAAGTTTAATACAAATTTATTTTTATAGGTAAACTAAATTCTAAATTATCATGCGTAAAGTTGCCGAAATTTTTATTGGTATATGTCTTTATTGTGTTTATCCAAGATCAGATAAAAATTTAAGTTACCTTGAGTTTCGAATCTTGAAATTTGATGGACTCCACCAATAGACGACTTTAAATTTCAAGTGTTCACACTATTTAGAACAATTATTTAAAATTATATATACCAAAAAAAAAAGATTTATTCTTATTTCAAAGCTCCAAATAAGTTAATATCTCTAAACCTTCAATTATCAATTGAAGCTATAATTTTACATAATATGCTTGTTAGTTAATTTAGCTTTTAAATTAACAGTACCACGTTAATTCTGACTTTTAAGATGATTATTCTTAAGATTTAATTAAAACTTTTAGAATTTAAAGAAGGAAAAGCATGCAATTTTGATGTCTCATCATTTCTAGGTAATTATGTATTGGTAATATTTGAAAAGAAAACATATATATATATATATATATATATATATATATATATATAGAGAGAGAGAGAGAGAGAGAGAGAGAGATAGAGAGAGAGAGTAATTTCTGGTAATATTTGAAAAGAAAACATATATATATATATATATATATATATATATATATATATATATGAGAGAGAGAGAGAGTAATTTCTAGGCATTGAACTCAATAATTCATTTTAAGGTTTCAAATTTAAAAAGTTAATCAAATAAGCAAAATATTCATGTAAGGTAAACTTTGTAACTGATTTTAAAGTCTTGAATATAAGGATCTTTTATACATAATTCAAGTAAAAAATTAATAAGAAAATTTTAATTGGTTTCGAAATTCTAAATATTAGCAAACATAAAGTTCTATTTCATTTAGGATGAAATCTACTATTATGATCAACATAAATTTATAATTTGATAATTTTATTTTTAAAATAATTAAAATTAGCCAGACATCGTTATAAACAAAAAAAGTACACTATTTTATAAAAAAAAATTAAGAGATCCAGCCCAACATAAAGGCCCAATATTTTAAGCGGAAAAAAACTACAAAAAGAAATATGTAATCACTAAAAAGGAGAGTAAGTTGAGTGTTCAATCGTCTTCTTCACCGCATCACCGACTCAGAGAAGCTTTATCGGTTGGAGATTCATCGGCATCTCGGTGAAACAATGTTAGCTAGGAAGTGGAGCTCAGGTAAACTCCGTCTTTGCATGACTTCTTATCTTCTGAAGATCTGATGAGTACGATCCTCTATGTTGAATCTCTAATTTGCAATCATATTAAATTCTGATTGATTCCATCTGCAGACACCTCAAATTCTTACTTAGTGTTACAAAATCATTCTTACTTAGTGTTACAAAATTAATTACCAGACACCTCCAATTCTTACTTAGTGTTACAAAATTAGTTACCAAATAAAGAATTCTTTAGCTTAATTTGTATAAAATGGGATAAGCCTTTTCGAATAGGTTAACCCTCTGATTAATTACAGAAATCAATAATTGCTTTGATAATTCTATTAGTAAAAAAATTTAGAGCTTACTCTTATTGCTCTGCATAATTACCTAATGTGGATTCACATAATTAAAAATTAATGAACAAAATGAGGATACATTTTTCATATATAACCTATATATTTTTATAATTATTGCGCTACAATTCTTTTTCAATATGAACCGGATTAAGTTAAAAGTCACGGTTATAAGCTAATAATAAATATATAAAAATAAAATTAATTAATAATAAAAATTTTAGAACAAATATATGAATAATATTAATATAGTAAAAGTCCTTACATAAGATTTGTGTGTGTTGAAGTTGCTTTGAATAAAAACTATTTCAATATCTTTATATTACTAACATCACTTTTTTCCTCCCATATAACTTGTTTCTACTTCGATTAATGATGAGTAGGAGCAGGTGACTTTGTTTTACATGAAAAATAGTTAATATCATTGAATAAAGCTTTAAACCTATTAATCAATTAATATAGGGAAATAATAAAAAGTTTCATAAATTAAAGGTACAATATGAAAAATAGAAATAGATTTAATAACAAAACTTTTAGTTAATTTCAAAACTCTAAACATTTAAAAAAAAATCACAATTTTATTTAGAATGAAATTGTTTTTAAAAGCAAGAAAAACAATCAAAATTTTCGTACTTTTAATATAGTATAAATAAATATAAATATAAATATAGATTATTTTTGGATTATCTAGGTTTTGGCATTAGCATTAATTAAAACATATAATTCGATCTTGAAATTCATAAGAAAACATGAAAGTTCAAAATATAATTTATATTTTGTTTTTTTCTCTCAAATAGAAATATGAAATTTTTTTCTCAGTTCAAGCATAATATAATAGAAACATGAAATTCATAAGAAAATATGATTCTCTCTTTGGGCTTTTAGCCTTGTACTAACATAAAGTTCAAACATAAATTTTCTCGTTCAGGGAAAAGAGTCTGATATACCCCTTAACTTTATCATTTAGAGCTAATATACCCCTTGTTATGAAAGTGGCTCGTATATACCCCTACTTGTAAACAAATGGCTCACATATACCCTTTTCTTCTAACGGAAATAAAAAAATAATAATTTTAATCTAAATTTTTATTATTTTTTCTAGAAAATATAATCCCAAATGAGTAAATTTAATCCTCATCAAACATTTTTTTTGACTTTTTTTATTGTTTCAATGACTAATTTATAATTATTATTTTGATAATCAAATTTATTTATGTTTCACTAATATTCTTGTAAAATTTATTGTAGATGACCAAATTTTTTCTTCGAATACGAAATTAAATTACAATACACACAAAAAAATACTTTAATTTTTTTCTTTAAAGTAAGGAATGAAAAAAAAAATAA